AATTAATAAAAACTTAATATTTCTTTGATAAATATGTCAATTAAGAATACTTTGTAAAAAACTTGCAACAATTGAAGCATGACTTTTTTAAATAAATTTGTAACCCCCTCTAACTGAGGGGGTTCAAACTTTGTATAGCCTAAATTTATAAAAGAATAGTGCATAAAATATTTTATTAATAATATATACATATATATATAAATAATATATACACATATATATATATATATATATATATTATATATATATATATATATATATATATATATATATATTATTGAAATATATGTATATATATATATATATATATATATATATATATATATATATATATATATATATATATATATATATATATATATATATTATTGAAATACACACATAAAAAATTAGTCTTAACTAAGTAATAATGATATATATACATATATATATATATATATATATATATATATATATATATATATATATATATATATATATATATATATATATATATTATTGAAATACACACATTAAAAATTAGTCTTAACTAAGTAATAATGATATATATACATATATATATATATATATATATATATATATATATATATATATATATATGTATATATATATATATATATATATATATATATATATATATATATATATATATAGGGGCATTTTTAAAAAGTTATAAAAAGTTATTCGTACTTTCATTATTACTCTTCTTCTGTATAAAATAGAAAAACAAATTTTTTATGTGTGTATTTACAATAATGAGATAAGTTAATTGAGCATACGAGAATTCAATACATCCAAGAATACCGTTATTTTTAATAAAATTATTGTAATTGAGAGAAAGTATTAAAATAGCAGTGGTTGTATTGGTTTTAGAGTTAGTTTATAAAATTTAAAGAAATTTTTGTAATTTTTACAGGAAAAGTAAGTATAACTTCAATTATAATATATACTTTATTTATTTGTGTATGCTCAATGGTAAAAATATTTTCTAAACCTTTCAAAGTGGGCCGAGGACGTCATTGTACACCAACAGAACGCAACATTATTTCGAAGCATCATAGAGAGGGTAAATCTTATTTACAAAACATTCTTGGATGTTCAGCAAAGATGATTTTAAATGACTTAAATTATAAAGCAAAAGTTGGAAAACGAGGTGGAAAACGAAAGACTACCGCACAAAAAGACCGAAGAATTGTAAGATACGTTAAAAGTAAACCATTTTCATCGGCCAAGCAAGTCAAAAATAATCTTGAATTACATGTGAGTGACACAACTGTTCTTAGGCGCTTAAGAGAGAACAGTTTATATGCATACAGTCTACAAAGGTTCCTTTGTTGACAAATAAACATACCGATAAACGTTTGCAGTTCGCAAAGCAACACCTGAATTGACCCATCAAAAAGTGGCGTAACATATTATGGACCAATGAATCGGAAATTTTTCTTTATGGAGGTATAGGTTCAAGACAATATGTAAGACGTCCAGCTAATACAGAGTTTCAGAAAAAATATACCATTAAGTCTGTAAAAAATATACCATTAAGTCTGTATTTTCATTTGTAAATGTTCTTTTAAGAAGTCAAACTAGCACCTGTTTCGATTAAGTGGGTATAATGGAGTTTTTCTGAAGCCTAACTCCATACTTTCACAACCAGGTCTTTCAATTTTTTTCATGAGACAGTTAAGCAATGCTGGAAACTGATCTTTTAGAAGGGAAAAAACTTTACGTCCTTTGCAACTTTCCTTCCAAGTTGTTAATATTTTTTTCTTAATTAAAATAATCTAAAAATGTTTTCTATATTTGATCTGAATTGAACTAATTTGTGTAAATCATGAAAAACAGCCACACGCCAAAAAACAGCCACACGCAAATTATTTTTTGGTGTTATTTCAATCTGTTTTGTAGAGATTTTTTTTATAAGAAGTAAAATAAAATCATAAGTTGAAAAAGCCGTCAAAATCTTGGTACTGAAAAAGAGTCAACGAAGCCGCTACACAGAATGAAACGTAATAAAAATTAGTTATGTTGAATTATTAAAACTATAGTTATATATTATTTTCTTAAATAATTTTTTACAAATACTTTTTTTTTTTTTTTTTAAACTGTTACAAAATAGTTTTGCTTCCTTGTCGTGGTTGTGAGAAGCTGGATAACATTTTATCCCCTTCACGTTTGAGCATAATTGATTTTGAAAGATTTTCTTAATTTTTGAACTTGATTATTTGGCAAATTAAATTTATGGATGTTTCCAGTTAGAAATCTCATCACATTCTCAACAGTTCTCGATTGCTTTTATTGATGTTTGTTTCGTGCTCAATTTTTGTAACTATCTTCTTTTTTGTCTCTCTTTTGTAAAAATCGCCGCCTTAACATATGAGCTTCTAGACGCCAGCATTGCTATTGGGTGTTAATTATAGTTTGGTTATTGCATAATATGGTTTTTAAAGTAGATAAAGTAGTAAAAATAATGTTGACGTTATAAAGTTAAAATTATTTCTATTTTTGGTTGTAGTCTAATAATCCATGGGATTTTAAGATATAATTTGATATAATTTTATTTTTAGTTAAATTTGTGGGGTTTCTGAACTTCAAAAAATTGGAAACTTGTTAAAACTTATCTTTATAAATGACGCTAGCAGTATTTTTCCGAGTTTAAAGCAGTTCCAAAGTGTATACTGTAATGCCTTTTAGTAGCGCCAGCGCGAAGCGAAGTTTCGCCGGAAACATCTCTCAGTTTATTAAACTAATAAAGATTATTGGATTTTTCTCGTATTAATGGTCTACTTCAAAAAAGCTAGATAATCTATTCAAATCTTTGCTAATGTAAAAAATAAAAAAATTGTATAAAAATTATTTAAAATTATTTGTCGCGGTGTTGTGATTAATAGCTTTTAGCAGAAATTTAAGCGATCAGAGTATTATAAAAACGAAAGTCAGGGTATTATATGTTAAATTCTAAAACGTAGTAAAGTTTAACATACGATACTCTATTAAACTAATTAACATAGTCTATTAAACTAAATAACATATATCACTGTAAATGATGTAATAATTATTTAATTTGTTAACGAGAATAACATTTTAATCTTTAAAACTGTACTTATGCGTTACAGATATTATATTATTATTACAGTATTACCGTAGTTTTTTTTTTCGATATGCGTTGCACATACAATGTTGGTAAAGAGTTTTTAGATTTTTTATATAGTTTTCATCATCGATGTGTTTTATAGCCATGGAAAGCAGTCTTTTATTCTCAATCCACCTCAAAGGTTTAGATCCACCAACAGTTTTAATCGTGAATAGTCGCAATTGATGTTTATTATTTTTTCAAGCTTATATGTATTGATACAGCATAAAAGACACATACTACGAGTAAACTAAGATTAATTATATAAAAAATATATTTTTTAGAGATGTGCATTAGGAATTTTTTTTTTAGGACGTATAAGTTTTTATTACACTGTGTGACATTTTTATAAAGTTTCTCTTTAAATAGATTTAGCATGAGACTTCTATGACAACTACTCTAGGAAAGTAAATTAAAACTACTCAGTAATGTTAAAGGAATATTAAATTAATTAAATTTCCGTTACTTAGCTACTACTTATTTTGAATAATCCATAAAAGATTTTTAAAAAGAACTTTTTTACTTTTGTGGGAATAAAAATGATTAAAGTCGCTTCATAGTATTTCAAAATTCTTTAGCTACAAAAAAATTACATATGGTTACATTTATGTCTACATGAAATCAAAGTTGCAAAAAATAGAAAATTAAAAACATCATCTTCAAGGAGACATTGTGCATTTTTTATAATCGTTTTTTTATAAAAGCTGTTTACAATAGCTCCTTGAATAAAATTTCATTTAAAGTGCATATATAATTAGAAGATGCATTAAAATGCGCACGACCTTAGGTAAGCATATACCATAAAGCCATTTAGTTTCAAATATCAGCCATATATAACTTGTAATAAAGACTAAGTAAAGTAATAAAACACTCGGTAATTTATTATCAATATAAATATTTATGAGTTAATGTTTTATTAACTAATAACTTATATATTATTATCTTAATTTACTATTTGATATTGCTATTTAATATTACTATTAAAAAAGTTTTAAATTGACGTCATGAAAAACCTATGTGGTTTTTTCATGACGTCAATTTAAAACTTTATAAAACTAAATACTTATCTTTTTTTTTATTGTGAACAACTTTAGCAATTATAAATAAAACTTTATAGTAAATAAATTTTACACTAAACTACAGTGATGCCATTGTCATTTTACTTGCGGTCGCATATTATTTTTGTGTCCTCACCTTACAGGGCCGACGACACGGGTTTTGGGGGGGGGGGGGCACAATCATCAATTTGTAAAAAAAGTGCTCTATATCTTAAAAAAAAATTTTTTTTAAATCTTTTCTTAAAAAAAACAAAAAAACAAAAAACAAGCTCCTCCAGAAAAAAAGTGGGAGGGACACCGCGGGGGTCCCCTGGCCCCCCAGGTGTCGTCGGCCCTGCCTTACCATTAATTTAAAATTTTAAATATTTAAATTCAAGAAAAAGGATTAAAGTGTCAGAAAATATTTTAAAGATTTTTTATTTTTATCATTATATTTTATATATTTTTTTCCTTTTGTTTTTGGCTGATTCTAAACGACATTTTCTAAGTATGGAATTTGATATATTGAATTTCAAATACATTTTTTAAAAATAATTTAAAACGTTTGAATTAAGTAAATTATTGAAAATCAATATTACATTTCTTTAACCATTGTTATTAATTTTTTTTTTGTTTTTGTTAATTTTTAAAAATCAATCTAAAATACTTATTTATATTTCTTAATTTATAATAAACCATAAACTTTCGTGATTATCTCTTTTTTGTCTTATTTCGTTTTTTAAATTATTTAATTTAAATATTATTGTTACTTTTATTTCTAAAGTTTTGTGTGTATTTAATGTTTTTCATATATTTCTTATTACGCATGCAAACTTTTGAAAAACACTTAAAAAAACCAATGTAACGCGACTCAATGATCTGACAAGTTTTCTCCTTCTTGCTCCAGCCAGGTTTTTTAATATTGCAATTTTTTTTTTTTTTTTTTTTTTTTTTTTTTTTTTGTAGCTTTAACAAATGGCAAATAAATAAATTAAAAAAACAAAAAACATAAACTCTTAATATAGGTTTAAAGTTAAGAGAATAAAATAAAGAACATAAAAAAGAACAAGAACGAGTTATTCTTTTATATTTGTAAACTAATTTTAAAATGAAATATATATATATATATATATATATATATATATATATATATATATATATATATATATATATATATATATATATATATATATATATATATATATGTATATATATATATATATATATATATATATATATATATATATATATATATATATATATATATATATATATATTTATATAAATGATTTCTTAAAAAAATGAGCAATGGTATCCTGAAAATTTTGTTTTGTTTTGTTTTAATAAGAAAAACGCAGGAGACGTAAAAGTGTTGCAATAATATTTAGTTTTAAAACGAAAAAACGAAGACGACGACTTTAAAGTTTTGTAATAATTTTACAAAAAATAAAATTATAAAAAGAGTTGTCGTAATCTTTAATAAAAAACGCTGTTGTAAAGTTTATAATAAAAACTTAAATCATTGGTATTGACGTCGTTTTGCCGTTTCACGTCAACCTGACGTCTAAACGGCGTTAACTTAACAGGGTTGCCCCTGAGTTTAAGTTTCACCAAGTAGGCGTCAAAGGCCAGTTTACCTTATTTTTTTCTGAAGAATGTGGCAATCAATGTGTTTTGATAAAATGAATTATAAGCGTAAATATATAAATTTTTTGTTATAACTCCCCGTCTGTGTCGCCGACAAGATTTTTTGGAAAGTTAGAGATGTTGAAAATTTACAAGTTCATAATTTTTGAAAGGTTAAAAAATGTTAAACGAAACTTAAAACCTGTCAATAAATTTAAATTTAGTAATATATGCTAAAAAGGTTTTGGGCTATTTTTGTTCCCAGACTCCAATCACCGCAATTGTTTGCGAATCATTCTCATTCGACATATGCATAAACATATTTAAGTTTGTAGTTTGTATGATGCCTATCTAAAACATCAAAAAAAATTCTGCCTACGTCACTACTATCTACCGATTAAACCTCAATGACGGTACTCAGCGACGTATTTGCCGTTACTCGGCAACGTATTCGTAATTTTGAAAACATGTAAACATAGCTATATATTTTTTACTGGCACAGTTTTTAAGTAGTTATAAAAAAATTAAATGATTAGAAATTTTGCATAAATTAATAAAATGGTCAAAAATCCTTAGACTCTATGACGTAATATAATTCTATACTACTATTATTTGTTTTTTTTATTAATACTACTGTAATATATATATATATATATATATATATATATATATATATATATATATATATATATATATATATATATATATATATATATATATATATATATATATATATATATATATTTTTAATATGAAAGCACGTTTGTAAAATAATCTAGAATTCGATTGGGGATTTTTATATAAATCAAACGATTTAAACAAGGCGTGTTTTCAATCGGAAATTCTTGTCTCCTAATGACAAAGCATATGCTGGAAATAATTGTAATAAACAGCAAGATTTTAGAATCTTATTAACTATTTTAGTACTACTGTGGTTCCCCCGGTACTTTAATAAATAGCATAATGTTTAGCTTTTTATTGTGCAACAAGAAAAGTTAATAACAAATTGGTTTAAAGGTGTTAACTTCTTAGAATATTAAAAATAATTATTGTATAAATTTTTCAACACAATCATATGAATAATTTCAATAGCTTGACTTATTGAAACTATTATTGAAATTTTATAACTATGCCAATTATTATTAATTGTAATGCACAACTTTCATATTTAAGGGATCGCAAATTATTAAAGTTCAAGTAGATAATTTAAAAGGATATATATATATATATATATATATATATATATATATATATATATGTATATATATATATATATATATATATATATATATATATACCTATATATGATAATTAAAAATTTATTATACTTTGATACGCGATACAATGACTTTCATTCTTCGATTTAATGCGTTTGTTACATTTGTGTTAAACATATGATTAATAGAATTTACTTGACAATATTTTTCAACAAAACTAGGATGTTTATAAAGTAGTACTATTATATTATATAACACCCGTCATGAATATTCATCAAAATGTACGGAAATTAGGTTTGAAAGCCACTTAATAAGATAAAACCTTAAACAGAAAGCTGTTGGGAAAAACTGTTTAACAAGATCATTTTTGGCATTTCAATTTTGCAATTGAAATGCCAAAAATGATCTTGTTTAGATCATTTATGATCTCTTCAATTACTGAACCTGCATGTTTTACTAATTAAAACCGTTATTTTCGATCAATACTCCAAAAAGCGATATTTGATTATTGGTATAAACCTTTTTCGTTTAATGTCATTTTACGACTATATTTTTTTAACATTTTCATTCAAAGTAATTTAATCGATGACTTCGATTGGCTTGACGGCAGACTTAAAGACGCGCGTGTGTAAACAATTAAGACAAAAGATTACTTTTAGGTCATCACTTTGGAATTTGCAGCTTTTTTTTAAATCACGACAAAATATTTTTAGAAGAAAAAAAGTTTTATTTAAGTGGAGAGCAATGAAAAAAAGTTTTCAAAATAATCAAGTTAATTGCGTTACAGAAGTAGCAACATCTCAATATGGCGATTTAAACAACAACTGTTTTGAAATATCGAGTGAAATGCATGAAAAACTTAAAGAGATACCGGAAAAATATTTTTATTGCAACGAAGAGTCCGATAGCGAACTGAATCATTTTGATTCTCGCAAACATTCAAAAGAAAACGATTTTTTCAAAAAATCAGAAGTTATCGAAGATTTTTCTACGTTGAGTAAAATACTTCCAAATGGTGCAATAATTTCTATACCACGCAATCGAAAATTAGGAAGGCAATCATCAAAATCAGAGTTTACTCCATCACTATCCTCTAAAAAAGCAAATTCCGCCTTTAAGCGTCACCACCAGCTATTAACAACTAAATCTACCAATACCGCTAGCTACCACCGATCATCAAAAAAAGAAAAATCTTTGCAGAGACAAAATGGATTTATTGAAGACTATGATAAATGTTCAAAAAACCAATCAGAAAAACATATTAACAATAAGGAAGCTTTTATTATGAATGATAATGTGCGCAAAATATCAAAATCCGAAAACGACCTAGATAAAAAGTTTTCAAATCTTATTTTAATTGAAAAACGAATTAGTCATATAAAACAAGAGTCCAGAGATGACTTGGAAATATCAAAATCAAATGTTGACCCTGATAAAGGGACATGGACTGGACACAAAACAATATCCGAAGCATATATTAACGAAAATGAAAATCATTCGGTATCTACTAAAAAAGTACCAAAGAAACCTATAAAATCTGATTCGTTTAAATATAGCTCTCAAGAAAATGAAACTAAAGTTATAAAAAGAAAAATCGGTGTTCTAGGTCATATGCCTTCTATGAGAAATGAAATAACTAAATTTCTTGTAAATACTAATAAAAAGAACAAAAGCAAGGACAATGGTTCTTTACTTCGAAGTGCAGTTCGAAGTTTTGACAAAAAAAAGTTGATGGAACTATTATCAAACGGGGCAACAGATGTAAATGATGCTAGCTTAAAAGGAATAACTGCACTTCACGAAGCTGCAGTCGATGGAAACATTTTATTTATTAAAATTCTTCTTGAACATGGTGCAGATATTTCAAAGTGTGATATAGAAGGCTTTAGTGCTCTTGATTATTCGGTACTAGCGGGTCATTTTGAATGTGCTGCTTATTTAGTAAGTCAAGGAGCTCGAACAGACCGTATACAAGATGGAATATTAGATGTCAAGAGCAGTACTTCATCTCGTTTTCAAAATTCGAGCTATTAGTCGAATTCTCAACAATTTAAACTTTGAACTTTTATTATACAAAAACTGTTTTAAGTTGGAGGGGCTGTTAAAGTGTTAATAAATCAAAAGCCATTTTCTGGTCAGAATACATGTTCATGTTGCATGATTTAATGGTTCACTGTATTATTATAATACATGTAACACCAGGTATCAAAACGTCAAAAGACTATTTTTCTTTAAGCAATGTTAACAATGTTAAGGTTTAATTTAACATTGTTAAAGATTAACTATTTTTCTCTTTTTTTTTGACAACAGTTTAACCGTGTTAAATTTTTAATTGTAGCGCATTTATTGTCGCTTTTTATGAATAGTGTTAATATTTTGTAACTTATAACTGTATATTATATACTATATATTAATGTTCTTTATTAAATGTAACGTTACTTAACGTAATGTTAATTAACTCTGTTACTTTGTGATAGATAATGTAAATTCTTGATATCTTTATTAAAGATAATCAAAATTATTTTAAAAAATTAATTTTTTTTGTATTTATTTTTTGAAGTTATAATAAAACAATCAGAAGCGCCGAACTTTCGAAATCATTAATTTGTCGTGACGTTAGAATAACAGGGTTCTCCCTTTTGTAGAGAATTTAACAAAATTTGTTAAATTCTCTTAAAATTAAATTTAACAAAAATTAAAGTTAAAAAACAAAATTTGTAAAATTTTTTAAATTAAAAGATTCAAAAATCTTCAAAGTTGAGAAAAAATGGGAGATTTTTTTTGATAATTTGAACTTTATTTATGAAAGTTGGAGTCTGGAATTAATTAATAAACAAACAACTTTTAAAGTTATATATACAATAGTAAAAGAATAAACATAAAACATAAAAAACATATTTTATCAGTATAAACAATAACAACTATTTAACATTGAACTGTAAAAACGCATAAAAATTGAATGTTAAACTCTTTCAACGTTACAAAAGAGAGATAGAACCCTGTTGTTCTAACGCCAGTTTGTTTTTAAAAATTAGTGATTTTGAAATATTAAGTTTAAGCTTATTTAAAATTTTAATCCGCCGTGAAAGCGAATTAAAAGTTTTATCCGTCAAGTAAGGACTTGACGTATAGAACTTTTAACTGATTTTTAGAATAACTAAAATTAAATTCCTTGCTTTTTCATTTACGTTAAACGTTTTTCTTTCATTTTGTTAAAGATTTTTTAGCCTGTTGTTGTCCTTTTTGTTATAGACTTTTTAGCCTGTATCCCGCTAATTAAAAAATAAATAAATAATGTAGGGTAGGACTAAACATTTTTTGCTATACTTGCAGATCTCTTAAATATTGCATCGAAGCTATATATTTTTTTCACTATTAAAAAGATAATTTAATCTACTCAAAATTGGTTCAAACAAAATAAAATCTTTTTTGGATTTTGTGAGGTTATATTGTTTAAAGTTTATTTGTATACTCAACCTGGCTCAGCGAGATAAGTTAAACTTATCCCGCTGAGCCAGTTTGTTTGAACCAAAAGAACAAATGGAACACTTAGAACTCGTAAGAACGTAAAATTTGGATAAATCTTTAATAAAACTACCGTTAAGAGTGGGCGTATTTACAAATGGAGACAGTAATAAAATCTTGATAGAACATTAGGGCTCTATCTCCCTATTGTATTGTTGAATTTAACTTTTGGTTTTTAGTTATTTAAATGTTTCATAATTGTTATGGTATATACTGATAAAATATATGCTTTTTATGTTATTCATGTTTTATTATCTTATATTATTATTTATTAATTTTATATTATTATTTATATAACTTTTAAAATTGTTTGTTTACAAATTAATTCTGAATTTCAACTAAGCTTTATTATATAAATTTGAAATTAAAAAACAATATTTGAAAATTACATAAAAAATAAAAATAAGACTAATATAATAAAATTTTAAATTTATGAACATAAGAATATCAACATTAATAAAAACCAAAAGTTAAACTTTCTTAACATAAAAAATAGGAGGTAGAACGTAATAATTCTCACGTCATGATATCTTATTTGTCTTATACCAATCTAAATTACTTAATAATGTATTCTTAACAATACCTAATAAATAATGTGGGGTCATGCAATTTCAAACTGTTTTTGACCTCTTCATTCCACCTTCCTCGTCACAAGATCGTAACTCTTTAGAAACATGTCCCGTACAAGTCATCACAAAACCACTAACCTCTCACACTTCCCCTTGAGGGTTACGTAGTTTATGGACGACCCCTGTGTGTTTTAAGCAGTCAATTTAACAAAATGGATTTTTTAATTTCATAGAATTAACAAATTTTGTTTTTTAACTTTAAGAATTTAATATATAACAAATTTTGTTTGAATTCTCTCAACATTACAAAAGGGAGATAAAACCCTATTATTCTAACGTCAAGAAGTTATGAACATTGTAGTTAATATATTTTAATGGCGTAAGTGTAATTTAAATGAAATTATTACCAAACAAAAACAAAGTTGAATGTGGTTAAAACCATTAGTAAAATTTTAATAACTAATTTACAATCAACTGATTTAAAAAGTATTATATTAAAGATCATAAAATGTTGCTTAAAAAGTTGTTTCTTCCAGTTTGATAATGCCGTTTTATTTATTTACTTTTTAATTATTAATTTTTATTTATTTACTTTTTTTATATATTTTAGTATTGTGGTTTATCCTCCTACGGCTAATTGCCATATAGCGGCCACATACCATGGCTCGCGAAAACAAGTTCAGCTCAATAAAGAGCATCATTACCCGCTTCGATGGACTAAGAGTAAGTGAGTTTTACAAAGAAAAAAAGTAATGAGAGTAAAGGACAGAAATAGTTGAGTTAAAAAGATAGCATTAAGAAAAGCGGACAGACATTGCACTAAGTATTAGAATCTGCAATTTTAAGTAATTGAAAGCCTAATAAAAATTTTTTTCAATGTTTTTCATATAATTATAGTTTATTTCTTTTCTCCAGCCGATGCCTTTCAGAGAGATTTTTCTATAATTTTATTACCCCCTTTTTTCTTGACCTGTTTTTTTTCAAATATATAATACTTGTCTGTGGTTGCCTTTAACGTAATTGTTATTTTAATTTTGCAATAACTTTGATTTTCATTTAGAAAAATTTGTTTATTTTTTTTGCTTAGCCTGTGTGAATTCCGGTATCGGCTAAATGAGCTATCTTTTAATCAAGAATATATCATACAAACTTTCCCTACGTTCCTTGCAACAGGCAGGTTACAAGAAAATCATTTTTAAAACTAAGCAAACTTTAAGCATCATATCAGAATCAATGGCAAGACAGCGAAAAATCTAAGTTATGGACTTTTTTTTGTCTTTTTCAAGTCAAGTTTTGCAAGTTAAGTATATTCTAGGCTGCTCAACTGTAGATTGAAACTATCCGTTATGTTATAGTACAATTCTCAATAAAGATACGCTAAATAATATATGTAAATTTACGTTGTAATACAAATCTCTGTAAATCTATGAATATCTCTAATTAATTGTTATAAAATCTCTAATAATAAATAACACCTTTTTTTCTATTTATAAATAAACCTTACGTCAAAGCGCACACTTTGATGTAAATCTCAGCACTAACCATGTTAATTATTTTCATTTTTGAAAAGATTAATATCTGCAATAAAAATGAATTGTTTGTGAGTTTAGTGACGCCAAAAACTGACGATCTTTATTTGATTTACGATTATATATTTTTTTCGCTGCTAATATATATTGATACAGAAAGTAATAGGTTATTAAATTAGATAAAAGTGTTTATGTTTTATTTATCTCAAATCATATTTTACTATTTGTTTTGACTATATTAGTTTGATCAAGTCTGTAATTCTTATGTCACCGACAATAATTAACGTGTTGATTAATGACATAATCAATGAAATTGATTAATGTCGCGTCATTAAAAACGTGTCTATGGTCAGTTATCTTTATTAAACCTAGTTAAATTATTAAAGGTTTTTAATTTAAATTAAACTTTTGTCTAGGTTAAGGTATTAAACTTAATTTTATGTAAGTTGTGATTATGAAATCATTCTGTAAAAAAATTTGTCTGTTATTCCGGTATTGTCTAACCAAAATAACTTTTTTTCTCATGTAATAAAATATTTTTTGTAACAGTCTTGTTTTTGCACTAAAATACTATTGGACATATATGGAAATATATTGGACAAAATAATCTTTTACAAAATCTTCCATAAAATAGACTAGCTTCGTTTGCAGTATTTGATTTGTGTAATCAGGAGAAAAGAGAGAGATCTCAGAAAATTATTTGTTAAAGTAAAAAGATTGTATCAAGTTTTAGGTAATAAGCTATTAATGTGCTTTGAAAGTTTAACGTTATAAAGGTAGTTCAATTAATAACATTATATAAAAACTAAACAATAATGATGACAAAAATAATATTAACAAAACAACAACAACCATAACAACAACAACAACAACAACGAAATCAACAACAAAATCAGCAAAAACATCAAAAACAACAATAACAACAACAACAATATAAACAATAACAACAACAACAATAACAACAGCAGTAGCAGCAACAACAATAAAAACAACAACAACAATAACAACAACAACAACAACAACAACAACAACAACAACAACAACAACAACAGCAACAACAACAACAAAAGCAATAACAACAACAACAACAACAACGACAGCATTTATAACAACAACAACAACAGCAAAAACATCAAAAACAACAACAACAACAACAACAACAACAACAACAAAAGCAATAACAACAACAACAGTAATATTAATTAATATTAATAACAATAATAATTGTAATAATAAGATTAATAAAAACAACAACTGTTTATAATAATAACTGTTTGATATATATTGATTAAAGTAATTACATTTATATTTATAAAACTTTTTTAAACTTCAAATTTTTATAAAAATAAATTTTTTAATTTCAAGTTTTTTCATTTTTTTTTGGTTCATAAAATTAGGATACCATGTGTAATTTCAAAGAGTTTAACACAAAGCACAACCCCTACATGGAAATATTTTCTACGCAATAAAGAATGTGAAACAGCTATGTGTAAACTAAGTCATTGCAAAAAAATATTAGAATTTGTTCGCACTTCATAGGCATCAACTTCAGTTACATAAATTTAAAAATAGAAACAGCACGTTCTCCGGCATCGGAAAAAGTCTCACAGAATAAAATTAGTTTATATTTTTTCATAGAATATGAATAAAGAAGTGTCTGAAGCGCTAGCAAGAACGACAGCTAATAATGTAATATAATTTAAAGTATTATGTATTTCTATTGATAAATGAAGTATTGGCATTTAAGCAATATGCTGTATTGGCATTTAGGCAATTTACCTTTACCCCTAAATCTTCTTATACCGTAAAAAAAAATGGAACTGATTTCGCTTACAAAATAAAAGATGCTCTCAGAAATGAATTACGAAAAAAATTGAAAGGGGAAGATAATTTTTGCAATTTTAGGTGTATATTGTTTATTTAGTTTTATTGTTGGAATAATACCAGCTGAAAAGTATTTCCTCACATAAAAATAAATTAGTACAATCTTTCACTTTAATAATGAAGTCATTAGTATAATCATGATCATTATTGTCAACATGGTTGTATTTTAAAAGTCTCCATGTTTGATTTAATTCTTGAAAATAGTATTTTGTACATGATGAAGATCAGTTTTATATAATTTTATATAACGTCAGTATCCGTACGAAAATTTGTAGGGTAAGTTGATGATTTGGAAAATGAATTTAAAATTTGGAATTTGAATTTGGAAAATGAATTTAAATTTGGAAATGAATTTAATTTAAATGAATTTCCAAATTTGGAAAATGAATTTAAAATTTAGCGAAAGTTGTGAATCAAAATAATGCCCATAGCTGAAACTTTTAAGACATCTTCAAATTTTAAAATTGAAAAAAAAATAAAAATGTTTAATTTTAAACAGATTATATGTCGCAAATTTGAATTATCCTTGGAAATCCTTAAACAACCTTAAGGATTTACCAAGTGAAGTATATATCAGCATAAAAAATTATGAAATACCAAAAACTATTAGTGAACATATAAATAAAACATTTAAAAAGGTTTTTAAGCAACAGCCAGAAACCTTTTAACAAGATTAAGTCAGTTATTAATTGAAGCGTCATTATTTGAAAGTTATATGCGGGATAAAGTTTATGAGTTTTTAATAAACATTAAACCAATAAGCGTAGATTAAAAATTTCTGGGTTTTTGCAAACTCTAGTTAACATGAACTTTAATGCAATAACAGCAGTAATTAAAGTTTCGTCTCATTAACAAAATGCTTTCTCAGTAGCTTAAGCTTGATTCAAATAAACTAAATATTCATATATTTTATTTTGAAAAGTCTTCAATATTAAATCCAGTTCTGAATCTGGAAATAAACCGAGCAGCACAACTTAGTTGGCCCAACGTTAGCCCAACGTATTTGTGATTGTTGGCCCACCGAAGTGTTTTGTTTGGCCGTAGATTGGCGTCGTGTCGGCATATAATCGGCTGTCCATCGTCCCTACGTTGGCATCGTATATTCTCAGCGTTGTTAGCAAAATGTTGGTCTACTCTTAGTTTTGAACTGTTGGCGCAACGTTAGCCCAAACAAATTGCTACAGTTGGCGACATATAGGCATAATACATTTTATACTACGTTGACCTTACATTGGCGCACCGTTAGTGTGCCAATTTAAGGTCAACGTTTTTGGTAATACTTTGGCCCTTCCCAAGAAAAAAAGTTCTATAGAATCTTCTATAAACTTTTGAAACATAGAATTTTTATAGAATGTCTATTAATTTCTACAGAAATTCCTATAAAACTTTTCTTTCTTTAAAAAAAAAAGTAGAAAAAAATTTTAATCGGATTTTTTCAGAAGTTAAGGCCATATGTTTCAAAAGTTTATATAAAATTCTATAAAACTTTTTTTCCTGGGTTTCTTACTGTTATATTGTAGGCAAAAACCAAGTGCTTTGAAGCTAGAACACTTTGTTAAAAAAGACGTTGGCACCTACATCAAAACAACGCTTTAAACGTTGTTTCAACGTTGGACCGACGTTTTTGCCTCCTCAAATGCTTCCTCATCAAGCAAACCATGTAATTGTGCATTTTATCTTTTTTCAACGTTGGCATAATGTAGTGTGTAGATTGGAATGATCTGATACTTATCAAACCAACGTTGGTGTTTTACAGGATGATTTTAACTTAATAAAGTTCTAATAAATTTTTGGGTTTCTAGTAAAAAGTTATTTATTATTGAAATTATAATATTTAGACATTTTAAAACGCTGCTTCTCTTCTCCTCCACCCTTCATCACAATCTCTTTGAAAGCGAAGCAATGCTTTATTTGCACTTGCTACATCGGCATTGGTACCACGGCATGTTGTCGGATTACGTCGAACCGCATCTAAATAAAATCAAATATTTAGGTGACAATAAACTGATTTACTTCACATTCATTGAACTTCATTTTTAAACAACTTCTAATCTTGTAATATAAAAAAAAAACTTTATATTTATATTAAAATATATCAATAACGGTAAAAATAAATTTACAGTAAGAATAAATAATGATTGTTTAACACAGGGGTCGGCAACCTGTTTCTAGTTGAGGACCATTTTTCTTAAAATAATTAAAAAAATCTAACTAAGGAGCCGTATGGATGATGAATGCGCGAATTATTATTCAATAGTATTTAATATCATTTAAGTATAAAACTCGGACAGGTTGGATAGCCACACCGTTTGGATAAAAAAACTGTATGCGGCTTGCGAGCTAAAGGTTGCCGTTTCCTGGTTTAACACAAAAAAGCGCATATTTATAATTTAACATTATAATTTTATACAATATGATGTTATTACGTAATTTAAATACGTTATTACGTAATGTAAACTTTAACATCAGCAGTTAATAAGTGCATTGGGATGAAAATTCATGAAGGTTCAATCATGCTTCAATTCAATCATGTTCAATTCAATCATGCTCAACATCTGAACCGAACGGACGTGTGGATTTAATTTGTAAATAACAAAAGTAATATTAAAACTTTAATAAGATTTTTATTTTACTAACATAATAATATGGATTTAGAAAGTATTGAGAAATTTGTTGCAGATTTACTTGAAAAACAGAGCAATGCAAACTTAGATGAAACCAAAAAACTTTTGAAAAAACAAGAGAAAAGTGTTGCGTCTTTACCGGCTGCAAACTTGAAGATGTTCACTGAGAGACTTGACAAGTACGACAAAGAAAATATAAATAACCTAATAAAAATAAATAAATTCGAAAATGATTTAAAACAAACAAATAAAAAAGTCGTCTCCTTAGAAAATGATTTACTTGAAATAAAAAAATTTATTCAAATCAATGATGATATTGCTTCAGAAAAATTTGAACTTGTCAAATTAAAAACAAAAGAGATAAGTTCAAAGCTAAAAGATAACAGCGAGATACCAAAAGTAAAAAATAAGCTTAGAGAAATAGAAGATAGATCCAGAAGAAACAATCTGAGAGTCGATGGTTTAAAGGAAAGCAAAAATGAAAGTTGGAGTGATAGTGAGGCTAAAGTGTTAAAATTATTTGAAGAAATTCTTGGGTTGAAAGATATAAAAATAGAAAGAGCACATAGAACTGGTTCTAGAGACAATAAAAAAGTCAGATCCATAGTTTTGAAATTGCTCAATTATAAAGACAAGGAAAACATTCTAAAAAACTCTCGGAAATTAAAAGGGGAAAATAATTATATTAATGAGGATTATTGCGCGGAGACGATGCTAATTAGAAAAGACTCAAAAAACAACTTAATAACTTGTGGAGTACCCTAAGGTTCTATTTTGGGACCACTATTGTTCTTACTTTATATAAATGACTTATATTTATCATCAAAAGTATTAAATACTTATTTGCAGATGACACTAATTTGTTTTATTCTCACAAAGATATTAATGTTCTTTTTAAAATATTTAACGAAGAATTAGATAAGACCAACAAGTGGTTTATAAGTAACCGACTATCATTAAATGTAGAGAAAACAAAATTTATCCTATTCCATAAGCCTAGTAAAGCCGAGAATATCCCTCTTAAACTACCCAATCTTTTAATCAATAACAAAATAATTAAAAGGAAATTGACTACAAACTTTCTGGGAGTGCTCTTAGATGAAAAATTGTCATGGAAATTTCATTTTAAATATATTGATGTAAAGATTTCAAAAAATATTGCCATGTTATACCGAACCAAAACCTTTTCTTAATAACGAGTCTTTAAAAAATTTATATTTTTCGTTTATACACAGCTATCTTTCATACTGTAACATTTCCTGGGGTAGCACTAATCACACTAAACTCAAAAAAATTTATAGAAACAAAAACATGCTTGCAGGATAGTATTTGGGGCAAATAGAAAAACACAATGCGAACCTCTCTTACGTCAGCTTGGAGCTTTAAATATTTATAAGCTTAATATTCATCAAGTAATGTTATTTATGTTTAAAGCAAAACTTGGGTTTTCTCGAGTAACATTTTAATCCTACTTTAATGAAATCTCCCATAAATATCCAACCAAATTTTCAGTGAATAACTTTGTGGCTCCCATAAACCTTCTTAAATTAAGTTAGTACCAAATTCAATATCGGGGATCTTTAGTTTGGAAAAAATTTCTTCCAATCTTTAGTAAATAGCAAAACTTCATTTTAAACTGCACTTTGCAAAGTTTTAAGGATGATTCAAAACGGCATTTACTGAACATGGAATTCGATATATTAGATTTCAAATACCTTTTTTGAAAACAATTTAAAGGTTTAAACTAAATCACTTAAAAATAAATTAAATCTTTATCACTTTCTTTAGCTTTTATTAAAATGGTTTCAAACCATTAGTATAAAAGATAACGAAAATATAATTGTCTTTTTCGCTAATATTTTTGATGATATTAAATAATCAGCCCAAATACTTATGTTTACATATATTGCTTTTTTTTTTTTAATTAAACACTGCATTTTTTTTGTGTTTTTATAACTGTCATGATTTTCTGTCGTTTTTACTTTTTTATTTTTAAAATTATTAAAATTATTTTATTGCTGAAGTTTTTGATTTGTTTTTGTTTTTGTATTTATACTGTCTTTTTGTCTTTTATCATTTATTGTGCATGTAAATTTTTGTGTGACGGGGCTCGGTGATAAGACAACCTGTCTTCTTCTTGCTCCGTCCAGAATTTTCTTTTATTGTAATTTCTTTTTTGTAATATTTATCAACGGCAAAATGAATAAATAATAAAAAAAAAAAGGTGATAAAGATACCGCTGAAAAGTATGTTAAAAAATTAAAAGTAAAATTGAACTAAGCAAATTTTTAAGAAAAGAATCATTGACTTGAAGTTAAATTAAACTTAAAAACAATTTTTATTTATAAACACTTTATCTAATAGAAATACTATCTATTTATTTATTTTTTTCTTTGATTTAGGAAACTGAAATTTATGTAAAGATTAATTACAAACTTACTATGGAACG